ACCTCCCCAGATTCCGAGTTGGTGAACTACAGCCGATGGCTGATGGCGCAGAAAGATCGCGCCAACATGTCTCCTCCAATCAAAGACATGAACGCCTATCTGTTGGCATTCACCGAGCTGGCAGAGACCGCATCCGATCGTTTTCCTGACAGCACAGTGCCACGCCGGTTCAAGAAGTAAGCTGCGATGAGAGATGAAAGGCCGAGATGGCTGCCCGAAGAAGAATGGCTTTCAATCCATGACACGACTATAACCTCAGTGGAGATTCGAACTTTTGGAAGCTTTAGAGTTTTACCAGTCGCTTTGTCCACCCGTGACATCGAGGAACCTTCGGCCCGAGGCAGGAAAGAAGTGTCCGTTCGTGGCCCCTAGGGAGGGGCGACTACTCCGCAATATATATATATATACAACACCAACAAGTTAAAGACGATAAAAACTTAGGAAAAGACGATAAAAACTTTCGGGCAACAAAAGTTTTTGACAGTCACATTTTCTTGAAACTTTCGAGGAAAATGCAACGCAGTAAAACGGAGACATTGATTTGTAGGGCAAGACTTGTGCAAGATTTGTTGACATGTGCTCACATGATTTGTTCAACGCCGCAAACCCAGTAAAGCTCCAATTTGCATGGCTCAAGATCACAATTGTCATCCACATACAGGGATTGCGTTCGAATCCACATTTCTCATGGGTTCAGCGCAAGCCGCACTTCCCGCAACCAAAAGGTCCAACACCGCACAGAGGGCTTTGCAGTAGGCTTTGTTGCACAAGGCGCACTTGCGTCCAGGCATGATATCGTTACCGTTTGGTTGATGCAGCAATGATTGAATCTCAACATGCTGCATCCCACACAGCCAGCCGCTTGGTGAGGCCACCAACGTTTCCACCCGCCTGATGGCAGTTCCACACGCCCATCACAAGTCTTTCACTGGCCCAACTGTTTGTTGAGAGAGGTGATGTGTTATGATGTCCTTGAACACCACTTGGACCCAACAAGCATCCTCTTTCTCACCCAGCTGCCGGACATTCTTCACTCCAACCGCTGCTCTTCGGATCACCAGCCGCTTGCTTCATCTTTCAACCGCAGCTTATCACCCAACGGCTCAAGAGACGGCGGGCGCGAACCCAACGCGCAGCCGCGAGACCGTTGCCAGGCGGGGATGTTGCGGTTGATGGGAACTGGTGACCCTTGTTGAAGGAGAAAGACCTCGGAGCAAAAGACCAATTATGTAGACTCTCGAAACAAACCATTTGGATTGTAAAACCTCTGGGGCTTATTCATCCGCACTCTGCATTCATCCAAATCTCTGTACTCTGCATAGTCCACCCAAATCAACCCCAAATTGACTGGTTGACATGTCCTATTCGGGGTCTTGTCCTCGTTGGTGAACAGTTTCACTTCAGACACCCTGAAAGATCATGGGGATACCTCCCACCGCATCCCACCACTTGGGGACTCCTGCCGCCTTGTTGTTTTGCTACATTTTCTCTTTGTTTCACATGACATTCAAAGGTTTTTGAACTTCAACCTCCCGCCACCGGGCTCTGGTTCTGGACTCCTCCTTCAGGGCCACCGGGCGCCGGCCACACGACTCTCCAACGAAGTCGTCTCGGCCAAAGACGCGGACGGGACCTCCTTGGCCTCGTGACTTGGAGGCCGCCAGCCAGGCGGATGTTTAATAAACGAGATATCAAAAGACCGAGTTTAAGAGCATGAAAAGATATGAAAAGAGTCCTAGATATTTGTCTGATTCTTTTTCATGTTTCTTCCAGGATTTTTGGACTCAAAGGCACAGCCACCGGTCCAGAGATGCCCGGCTTGGATGGAGCATGAAATTCAATTCCCAAGTCCATGCCATGCAGAGATTTCTGTCCGACCTTCAGTTGGCTGGGGTATGTTCTACAAGCTCGACGTGTTGGCTGGGTAGTCCCTTGAAGTTTCTCTTGAAAGTAAACGGATTCGATGTACTTCTGCCTAGATTGTTGAACGACTCCCCATCTCTCAGTGTTGACGGGTCCTGATTTGTCACTTCCCAGACTCTCCATCGTATATGCCTACATTGACTCCTTTTCAACCACCCCAACTGATCAGCAAATATGGCTTGAAACCCAAACGAGTGTTTGGGTTTGAAACCCAAACGATGAACATGTTCCATTCTCACTACACACCAACAGACTGGGCTTTCACAGACTGGGCTTTCATTACACAGGCCTTGGTTGGTCAGATATTAAAGGAGCCAGCATCTAAAGAGACCAAAGATCGGGAAGAATGAAGGACTGGGGAGCCACAGGACCAGAGGACCAGAGGCTTTGGTTCTGGCCAAGTTTGTTCTTCGGGCTTATGACCCAACCCACGAATTGGTGTCGGAAGAGCAGCAACATGCAGCGGCCGGTTTTGTTTTCCTTAAATTTAATTGTGGATTTGCCCGGTTCTTGGAACATGGACACTTTTCTACCAGGGCGTTTGGGTCTAGATTGTTTCAACATTGGGAGTCGACACAATTGTATGGGAAGCCTTCCAAGACCTAGCCATCCCTTTCTCGCCTTCTTGCCGCTGCTCCCAGTGTCGCGGTTTTCTCAACTCTCCGAGTGCTTCCGACCCGGTGTTCGCCATGGCACGTGCCCTGCTACTGGCCTTGATGCTGCGCGGCAGCCTGGCTTCTCCCTGTCCAGGCATGTTGTTCGAGGGTCGATGGGTCGATTGGTTTGGAGAAGAGTGGTTCGGCTGCGGGAGTCGCTTTTGAGGCGCACAACAGGATGTTGAAGGCTGCCGTTTGCTGTTGGGTCCAGATGCTACGTACATGGTCGGAATCCTTTAGATGGATTCCATACACCACATAATTCCAAGAGAACCAGACTCCCTCCGGCAGATTCCAAGTTATATATTATAGAAGATTCCAAGTTAGAATTCCATTCCTTAATTGATTCGAGAAAGAGGGAGCATTCCAAGTTATATTTAAGACACCAGGTGACAGGTAGTGTAACTCGAACGGTAACGCTGCTGGGCTTTACGCCATCCCATTGCTTTGGTAATTCTAGGAGGCCCCAACTGCCTCATCCGATTGAGACAGCCACGTATCTCCGACACATGATCTTATCAATTTCGTTCAATCGCCATTTCCATACAGAAACAGCTGTGCCATTGCCCTCCAAATAACATTTCCCCGCCATGGCCGACGTGGGAAGTTACAGGGGGCAAGCAGTACAAGTTCAATGAGCACGGTTGTTTCTGCATGTCTAAGAAGAAGAACTTAGACGATATACAACATCCTGACATGAATCACTGCAGGTGCTTGAATTCAGGACAGATAAGGACCGTGTAATTCTCCATTTGGCATAAGCCTTAGAATGTCTTAGAATCTCCGTCCAAGTTGTTGCATTTCTTGGTATTTCTTGGTCATCTTTGCCATACACCCAGTGCTGTCTTCTTAGCCCTTTTTATGCTTTGTTTGTTCGGTTTCGCTGTACATAGGCAGGTAGCTCTTTTAAATCTCCGCTTTTTGTCACCTGGTTCTTTCCACCCATCAACACCGTGAGCTTTTTGGTGGCGTTTGGGCGTTTGGGCGTTTTGGTTTTATCTCGTGCAGTGGTCGGTCCTGCCAGGTGAACTGGGAGGGTTTGAGCTCCGTCGGTCGCGGTCGTTTTCTCGTGTTGGTCTGAACGGACCAGTCGTGTTTTACTGCCGGTGCAGGCATCGCCTACAGCGTGCCCCCCCCCAGAACTACTACGTGGTCCCGGAGCTCCCGGTCTACGACAAGTCGTTGAAAGAGTTGGATTTGAAGGCAGGGTCACCTGCCAGGGGTGGTTTTCATCAATGGTTTAGTCGCCAAAAAACTCTAATCACCATATATGGTATGACAAAAGCCTGGAGTTCACAGTTGGGTGGTTTTCGTGGGACCCCCAAGTGAGTGGATGTGATAGGACCATTGACAGGGGCACCTCTATGTTTGTTTGGTTTGGAACTCCTGGATCCTCAGGTCATCTCAGGCCAAAACGGTCCAGCCCAGGACATGTGTTTTTCTTTGAAAGATTAGTCTGTACCAGGGTGGTCTGGAGGTCGGAGGTCTCCGATCCAAGCCGATTCACGCCGGCCATTGGAGAGATCGCATTTCCCCAAATGGACGACTTGTAGTGTAGGAGAGGAGAAACATGGTTGAAAGGTTCCGGATTCATCCGGATTCCTGAAATCCGTCTTCTTTAATCCGCCTGGGTCAGGCGGATAATTACCGGATACATCAGGATCAAGAACTCGGTCATGTTCTCATTTGGCTTTTTAGGGAGGGGATTTCGTAGCAGTGATTTTACAAGTGCGGGAGTGTTGCACTTGTCAGATTTACCGATCTCTACTGAGGGTGGTTCTACTTGTACCGTATCACCGGCCATCCACAACAGAAACACCTAGTACCTCATCCATTGCAAATTCCCAAACCTGGAAGCTACCTGCTAAGTTTCAACCACATATATTGTAAAACAACAAGTGTTTCAATCACATTCGCGAATATGCCACAAAGTCTACAAAGTCCTGGGCAAAATCACTGTGCAAAGCCCTTTGCTTGTCTCTTGTCACCGGGGGCCACTAGAGAGAGTCAGGGAAAGGACATGGGGGTCCAGCGGGCCCAGATGTTGTATTGTTGAGAGATGTTTCGAGAACGGGGAAGCATGGGGATTTCTTTCTATCGAAGGTGGGCGTCTGTCACGTGCGTTTTATTTGACTGTCATGAGGAGACATTTCATCAACTATTATGACGGTGATGATGTTCGATGCATCACAATTCTTGGGGATGCAACAACCTTTACACAGCGGTCCAGAAGCTCTGCGGCCGTGCAGTGTGTGCAGGCGGTTGTGGCCGACATGCAGAAGCTCTTTCTGGACTCCCAGGCGCTCGTGGCTGGCGCGTGAGTGCGGGTGTCAGGCGGCGTGTTCCAGGTGTGATCGGGTGCAAAGGCCTGAAGAAAGGCTTCATATACTGCAGCTGAGTGAAGATCTGCAGTACGCCTAAGCTTCAGGTTCAAAAGATTCTTCTTCTCACTGACCTGTTCTGGTTTTCACCCTAAACCCGCTGAAGTTTTGCTAGAGGTTTGAAAATCACTCAGCACATCTTGACCTGCACATTGCGGAAAAAAAATAGAACACACAAAGAGAAAACAGGAAACAGAGGTCATACAGCCATAGCAAACGCAAAAGCACACGAACAATCTTAGCAAAAGCATGCAAAGAGTACCTGAGCAACTTTGATCTGGAGACCAGTCCTACCTTTGTCCTACCTTTTTTGACTCCCCTGGAAGGACTTCCTGTCAAGCACTCTTCCAAAAACCGAGAGGGGAAGGAACACCATCCTGCTAGAAGTTGCACGAGTTCCCAGTTCTCGCCCAAGTCAAGCAGCTGACTGCCTTTGGGGTGGACCTTTTTTGTCGAATTTACATGAATTTACATTCCCCCCTTGCCAAATATGGCAAGCAACATGTACTTTTTGTCGATGAATTGCCTCTGCCGGTACAAGATCGGTTTGGGGAAGGCTATGGTCCGAGATTTTGACAACTCCTATGACTCATTGTAAGCATCCACGGCCTAAGACATTCGCATTGATTTTGAAACCGTCGATGTTCTCTTTCAGAAGCGACGTCCTCGACCTCTCGTGTCGTCTCGACGCGTCTCACACATCGTCCAGATACCGGGGCTCGACCTCTCGTGCTTCTCTCGTGTCTCGACTCCACCCGAATCGGTCAGGAGTGTTGGCCAGCCGACTGGGGCCATTACGGCCCCTTCTTCGTCCGGCTCGCGTGGCATTGCTCGGGCACGTGGCGTATCACCGATGGGTGCCTGGGTTGAAGCAAGTCAAGAATGAGTGGGTTCACAAGAGATGCTCATTGTGCACAACTGGTCACCGGTGCGGTGGTAGGAAGACCATCCTCACTGCTGTATATACTTATTAGAGTGTCGACCCCCACAAGTTGAACTTGAAGGGTTTGTTCCTTCATAAACTTGGTAAACTTCACAATGTTTAATCCTGTTCAATCATTTCAGAATATTTATTCCCAATTAAGGAAAGGTTTTGAATGTTCCATCATTTGTCCACTTGGGAAGTCATCTAAGAGGTCCTTTCAGACAACAGAGCAGCTGGGTGGTGGGGGATTGTAGCTTTCAGAGGGTGAGCTTCCAGTGGTGTCGTGGACGTCCCTGGACCGGCCCAGACGTTGAATGACCCTGCTAGGGCCCACTGATGAAGAAGCTCTTGCACCACCGGACTTAGATAACTTAGTTGTTGTATGTATGCCATGCTATCCGTCGCTGGGTTTCAACGGTGTCTTTGTTGCAGGGAATTTGTCCGTCGAGGTTTCTTTGGGAGTCTGGCCTCATGTGTCTGAGAGATCTCTCAAAGATTTGTCACCTCAAACTGGCCTGAAACCCTGCCGCAGTCTTTTGACGATGACGTGGCAAAAGACCGGTTGCGAACTCGAACAGATGACGAGAAAGGGTGATTGGCAGCAATGAAGTAGGCAGGCATACGTTTATAATCGTGCATCATTTTGCATCCCTACTCGAATTTTGTCGGGATATATGTATATGTTTACGATACTGATCATTAGCCTCTTTAGGTTTTACAGTGATTTTACCATATTTAACAATCATTACGTGCAACACACAGGCACACACAGCATGCTGTGTCGCTCACAACCCCCAAAAGAAGAACAGCCGAATCTCAGCTCCGCCGGCAAACACCATCCCTATAAAAATGAAGAACAAAGAACTGACTGGTGCGACGAAAGCAGGGAATGAAGGAATGACCCTCCACTATAGATACCTTAGGATCCATTTCCCCAATCATTCTCATCAATTCTCTACATTCCTCTACTAAGTAGGAGTCATTTCCAAATCATGGTCGGCCCCAGGCGCGGTGGCTGCGCCGGTGGCCGGCAGCGCTTTGAGCCGGCCGCTCTCTTTGAGCTGAGCGAACGACTGGGTGACAGTCGGTCAACTCCGTCGGTCGTCGGACGTTCCTTTTTTCCCCAACATCTCCAAGACCACTCTGCCGAATTCCAGACTTGGGGGCAGTTGGTCCATGTTGGTCCCATCTCTCTTGTTGTCATCCATGTTGCATCCATGTAGAAAGGACGAACTTGAAAGAACTGAGCTGTTTCACCAGCCCTCCGGTTCGTCGATGGTGATGCTCAGCGTCAAAAACGACCCAGGAGAGGTCCTGGGCCGACAATACCAACCTGGACAAGGCACGTGTGTGGGACTGGGGTGGATTTTCACGTTCCCTCACTGGGTGAATCGGACGAGGGTTTGGTCTCAAGACATGCTCTTATGTTATAAGATCTCAAGAGGCGAAGCCAGAGGCGAAGCATAGGGCAAAGCATTCGATTTGAAGGAGCATGGATTGAACATTCAGAATAATGATGATTCATTTATGGTTTTGATGGTTGCAATATCAGAACCATCCTGGTTTTGCTAGGGATTTAGGCTGACAAACAACTAAATGAGGCCAGAAATCCGAACTTGTTTTGCTGAGGATTCTAGACTACGACCACCAGGGATAAACACATATAGCAATTTGTGGTGTTGGAAGTGTAGGTGTTGGCTTGTTCGAGGCCTTTGTAGAACTGGGACTGAGCTCGGGGACCATGTAGCTAGAAACGATGCTAAGACACTGATCAGGATATACATGTATCATGCTATTGCAAGATAGCAACAACCAATAGATCGACCGCAGCATGTCAGCCATTTTTCTGAAAGAACCTATCCACCTCGCTGGGGGTGGATTTCCAAGGCATGCTTCCCAATTTGGGGGGCAGGGTCGCCAGTCTGCAGGCGCGCGCCTTGCTGTGGCCCATCAAGTCCAAGCTCCTTCAATGAAAGACGGTCTGGGAAGAAGGTCTAAGGGATGAAGACCTGAAAGCTCTAAGAGCTTTGGTTTGCTGCGGTGGTATTCACAAGTTGTGGGAATCTTAGTGTCTATCGGCGGTGGAATTTGCCCATCAACAACATGTCATTTTGTATGTAGTAAGTAGAGGCTCCTTAGCAGGCGGTGCATGTGTTGACGGGCCATTTTAACCAATCAATTCTTTTCTAGATTTGGTGAGGGTCAATCAGCTGTCGTTCGAAGATGTTGGAAGTACTTTCCTCAACTTCCATTGCATTGGCAAACCCATCTGCCAGCGGTTTTGTGGTACGTTGGTGTGTGGTGTCTGGCTGGTTGAGTCTGTTTGTGGTTTGCCCGCACTTCCGTACTTGTGTGCGTAGTCAAGCGTTGCATTGGCATCGGCAGGAAGAAATGAATAAACTGCCCTCCCAGTCTCTTCAAAGTAAAAGAGCAAGAAATAATACGTATATTATACCTACCAACCCATGAATGCATTGCTGGATTTTGCTCATTCTTGGCAGTGGCCAGGAGCTGTACTGGGGCAGTATCCGCACATTGGTCGTTGCAAGCGAGTGTGGCAACAGGTTTTGCAGTCTTATCATGTAGTGCCATCAGCTTGATTGCCAGGTATATGGGCAGTAGGATCGTCGGGTTGGGGTTAGAAGTACTTTCATAGGAGGCGATGTTGGAGACACAAACATTCTGCAAGATCACATCTGCAGAGCAAGTACAATCCCAGCTGAATGAAATCATGGAAAAGAGCCGGTCGCTGGCCCCTTTTCCCACTCAAAAGCCTCAAGTCTGCCCTATTTTTTTCAAAGAGTGAACTGTCCCGAATGGATGACCCACCCAGATGGGAACTGGCAGATGGTCTCTTGCACCCTCGCCGCCCTCGTCTTTATTCATCAACACCAAAAAACGGAACCAGAGGTTCGTTCGGTCTATGGCTTCAGTCTTTGGAACTGGGACTCCCAGCGACATCGTGGTTTGCCTGGATGCCCCTGGGGTCACCAACCGTCACCCACCTGCCGGACCCGGTTTGGGCGACGCACCCTCCGGTCGGACCCTCCGGATGGAACCTCCGCCGTCCGGGAAGCGGGTCGGAACCGGGTCCGGTCGGATCGAGCGGCTCAAGCCTTTCAGGTTTGGGGCGGGGCTCAGTTGGGGTGACCTCTTCACCTTGGCCGCTTGGTGGAGCTTGGGCGTTTTGGGGCCCTGGAAAGTAAAAGGAAGATCGGGATGGACTCCGTTTTGGCACACTGTACGTATGGAAGAGGTCAACAAATCCGTGGTTCTTCATGACTTCATGCTGCGTCCATCCGCGTTTTATGGAAGATGATCCATACTCCATGTACATATAATTCCAGCTCGATCTAACAGTGCAACTTGACTATTTACTTTTGCCGGGGGGGCATAGGACATAGTGACCAGTGGTCATTTCAGGTATGGATCGTTGTGGGTCCATTCTTTATCGAAATGACGCCGTATGCCGTTGATCGGTTGATCGGCGCCCTCACAAGCCGGTGTGTGTGTGTGTGTGTTGTGCATGGACTGTGTGCTACACATGTGAATTTATCATTTGGTGATTTTTTGGGGCCAAACGCAGACACTTCTGCTATTGGTAGCAGAGAGAGGTGCTGGAATCGTGGCCTTGGACGAAGCATTCTCTTGAAGGAAAACATCTCCAGAAAGCCACCAGAGAAACTAAGAACGTGAGGCCCCCACCATGTTTCACTCCTTTTCCACAAAAGGCCATGGTCTGATCCCAAAACATGTCAAAGAGTTTTGGTGGTTTGTTTGGGTGGAGGCCATCGCTATTAGGAGCAAGGACACTACTAGGGGCTCCTGGCCTTACTACTAGGATCTACTAGGAACAAGAAGCCACTAGGGGCTCCGGGCATCGCTACTAGGAGCAAGGACGCTACTAGGTTGGAGGCCATCGCCAGGGCGGACTCCTGGGGTGTTCCCACCGCCCCCAGGCCGGCACCGCCGCCATCAAGATGATGGGCGGCCCCATCACTGAGTACTGCGCGGGGCGCATCGATTCACCGGATGGCACCTGGGCAGTGAGGGAGGGCTTGGAGTCTTGGAGCGAGTTGGACAGAGATCGTCAGAGCTTGGAAACATGTGGGATTCACCGTCACTGCTTCTGAGATGTGGGTTGATTTGACATCTCATTCATCTCAGAACATTTCACATTCAGATGCATGGTCATGTTCACTTCTTCTTTGTCATCCTCAAATGTTTTTTGTCCAGAGACCATTCGGCGGCCCCCCACGTCTTGGACGGCCACGCGCCTTGCTGGAGCTTGGGCAGGTACCGAGAGCTTGGATTTGGGCCCCAGCGAGGAGCAGAGGCCGAGGGCCGCGCGCGACCGGGCGGGTTGGAACACCATCGGTGGCCCCGGGGGGACCAGTCCCATCGAGCGGGGGCGAGCGGGGCCCGCTCGGGGCGCTGATCGAAGGCTGGAGTCGAATCAGGTCAAAGAGATGTGCTAATCAGGTCCGAGGTGCGAGAGGTCGTTCGCATGCGGGTTTTCAGGGTTTTGGACTCACGAAGGATGTCTCCGCATCGCTACTGCACCAGACATCGCGGAGACATCCTAGATCGTCGGGATGGACTTCACTACGACGCGGCTGGAGGGTTCTCTGGCTGTACCAGAGAAGGTGATGATTTGTAAGAGGGCGAGCTCAGGCAGTTGAACTATGATGGGCATGATTGATGATGATGATGATGATGATGATGATGATGATGATGATGATGATG